TATGTTCGGATTTGTGAACCATTAGCTGCGTATAAGAGAAATTTAGTTCTGACATTTGTATTTTCTATGTCGTTGCAAACTCTCCTGGGTATGACAGATATGTCCGCCCCAGTGTCCACAAGAAATTTGATGTGATTTTTTGCGTCATTGATTTGCAGGCGAGATGTGAAGGGTCCTTCGGCGGTGCCTACTAATATCACCGAAGGGCGTACTAGTTTAAATTAGAGTCGCTTGGTGAAAATGTGCATGGTTTCCGGCAGTTCCTTGCCTTTACGCCAAATCGCTTGTAGAAATAACAGTAATCCACGTCCCAATGTTTTGTTGACTTGGTAAATTTCTCAAACTTTTTTGCTAGTGCTTGAATATCTGCGCTACACTCAGTAATATCGTTGCTTGACGGTGCTTGCTTTTTCGGTGTTGCTTCTACGTCGCTGGTCCTATTCAGTGTCATGATGTTGTACTCAACATCGCAGATTTTGTTTGCTTGCATCGCTAATTTGTCCAAGTCCTCAGTAGTGCTACACGCCAGGAAACAGCGAGCGTTTTCCGGCAGCTTCTCGAGGAAAAGAGTGCGGAGTAAACAAGTTGGAACTTTTCCTCCGGATAGGTTCCTGAGTCGTTGCAAAAAACTTGTCGGCTTCTCATCAAGACGATCAACGCCACGAAGAATTCGTCGGAGTCTTGATTCTTCAGATTCAGGGAAAGAATCAATTATTCATTTTTTAATTGATTTGTACTTGTCTCCTGCAGGTGGGGACATGACGATGTCGGCAATAGGTGCACAAGCACGTATTGGAATTACGCGGCGTCAGATCGTACTTCGAAAATGTCTAGCGCTGCTTCGACCTGAGCAAACCATAAGGAGGGATTTTCCTTCCAAAAGGACGGCAGTTTAATAGATCGTGCCGTTGCTAAATGAGCTGTGGCTGCGCCGTTGTCCGGCAGAGCACCATATGATATTTGCGCTGCGAGTGTGCTGTTGTCCAGCGAGGTGTGACCTGTGCTGGTGGGCTGCAGCAGCGTGTCGTTTTCGTTGGTTCTCATTTTAATCTGTAGACGTTCGCGAGGTCACCAATGGTAGGCGCTGGAGTTCATATAAAACGGCAACTCAAATTTATTTCAAACGAGAAAACGAATTACAAACGATGAATAATTATAACTAACAAAATGTGAAAAAAATGTGTATCTATTATCATGACGTTGAATTTGAACTAAGCAACTATGTCTCAGTCGTGTACTTGTGTACAGTAGCCATATGGTTTACAAAACAAATATAAAGTAAAAATTTAATCACGTATCAGCTGAATTGCAAAAAGACGTAACAAACATCGTCGCTGAAATTCAAAAAGTCGTAACTAATACAAAATTCAAAATTCAGTTTTTGATTGATATGAAGGATTTCATCGAATTACAACTCCCACATATTTTAATGAAAAAATAAAAAGATTTAGTCACGACTCTTTCCATTTCAGCTACGATGTTGTTACGTCTGTTTGCATTTCAGGTGACGATATAATTACATTTTTTCTTTTCGCAAATATTGTAAGGAAAGTTAAATGAAATGTCACTGTGCCTGTGAATTAGAATCTCTGGCATAATACATGTAGCTTAACACATATGTACACTACATACTTATAAAGCAATTAAAGTATTTCTAACTTATATACGTGTACATATATGAACATTTATTAAATGTAATATGGGAATTTATTAAAGAAACATGCTTGGGCATGATTCCACGAAAGTAACGGGTGATTTTTTAAGAGCTTGATAACTTTTTTTTAAAAAAAAACGCATAAAATTTGCAAAATCTCATCGGTTCTTTATTTGAAACGTTAGATTGGTCCATGACATTTACTTTTTGAAGATAATTTCATTTAAATGTTGACCGCGGCTGCGTCTTAGGTGGTCCATTCGGAAAGTCCAATTTTGGGCAACTTTTTCGAGCATTTCGGCCGGAATAGCCCGAATTTCTTCGGAAATGTTGTCTTCCAAAGCTGGAATAGTTGCTGGCTTATTTCTGTAGACTTTAGACTTGACGTAGCCCCACAAAAAATAGTCTAAAGGCGTCAAATCGCATGATCTTGGTGGCCAACTTACCGGTCCATTTCTTGAGATGAATTGTTCTCCGAAGTTTTCCCTCAAAATGGCCATAGAATCGCGAGCTGTGTGGCATGTAGCGCCATCTTGTTGAAACCACATGTCAACCAAGTTCAGTTCTTCCATTTTTGGCAACAAAAAGTTTGTTAGCATCGAACGATAGCGATCGCCATTCACCGTAACGTTGCGTCCAACAGCATCTTTGAAAAAATACGGTCCAATGATTCCACCAGCGTACAAACCACACCAAACAGTGCATTTTTCGGGATGCATGGGCAGTTCTTGAACGGCTTCTGGTTGCTCTTCACTCCAAATGCGGCAATTTTGCTTATTTACGAAGCCATTCAACCAGAAATGAGCCTCATCGCTGAACAAAATTTGTCGATAAAAAAGCGGATTTTCTGCCAACTTTTCTAGGGCCCATTCACTGAAAATTCGACGTTGTGGCAGATCGTTCGGCTTCAGTTCTTGCACGAGCTGTATTTTATACGGTTTTACACCAAGATCTTTGCGTAAAATCTTCCATGTGGTCGAATAACACAAACCCAATTGCTGCGAACGGCGACGAATCGACATTTCACGGTCTTCAGCAACACTCTCAGAAACAGACGCAATATTCTCTTCTGTACGCACTGTACGCATTCGTGTGGTATGTTTAATGTCCAATAAAGTAAACTGAGTGCGAAACTTGGTCACAATCGCATTAATTGTTTGCTCACTTGGTCGATTATGTAGACCATAAATCGGACGTAAAGCGCGAAACACATTTCGAACCGAACACTGATTTTGGTAATAAAATTCAATGATTTGCAAGCGTTGCTCGTTAGTAAGTCTATTCATGATGAAATTTCAAAGCATACTGAGCATCTTTCTCTTTGACACCATGTCTGAAATCCCACGTGATCTGTCAAATACTAATGCATGAAAATCCTAACCTCAAAAAAATCACCCGTTACTTATTAATCGCAATTAAACGCTGGCACAAAATTTTAAAGCGCGCACAAAATGAAATGGTAAAAAATTAGACAAGAAACATCTTCGATGTTTTCCAAAACATCGATGTTTTGATTTAACATCGGATTCGTAAAAACATCGATGT